GCTATTTTTACTATAACAGAAGACTCTCCTGTTTACATCTACCAAAATCCAGTCCACAGCTTATTGTTACGGAAAAGGAAAGGTTTATGAGCATAGTTCATTTTCTTGAAATTAAACAACGCTATATGTTAGCCACAGCTGTGCGTATTGTGCTACTATAAGGGATGTCTATTTACTTTCAAATTAAGAAAAAATATCGAGTGGCATGAATCGGACTTTTGAATAGTCTCTGTGGAATATCTTTAAATTTTACATATGACCTCAAACTTTTAGCCGGCAGTGTACACGCTCTCGTACCACTCAACAATCGAGGCGAGGCCAGTGAAACAATTACTGTAATCGAGTCTGATACGCAAATCGATTCGCGTGCACCTAACGAGATAAAACATATGTAAGGATTATAGATCTTAATTGAACTAGGGCATAAACTTAAATAAATCAAACTCTTCAATTGTCAGGGAAAATTCATATGAAAGTTTAATGTTAACACTGTAACGGTTCAAAGTGAACTTGGTCCGATTAACACATACAAAGGTATTGAGATAAATTGTTCGCTGTCTGCAAAAATATCAGCTCAAGCAAACGCACAAATCAACTTGTTAATTAATAATCAATTTCTCTAACAGTCCCTCGTCAAATACATATATATTCCAGACAGTCCCTCGTCTACTTTTACGCAACACTCAGTCTCGAAATTCAACCTTCTATTACACTGGCTTATAACGAACTCCCTGTCTTTCCGTGTCTTTTACTCGCCATCACTTCGTATTTTTGTTTTCTGTGAGTCGCGCATGTCCTCGCGTCAATACCAATCCTCTAATATCGCTCTAACAATAAGTTTATATTTTAATATTTTCTTGTCCCTAGATTATTTCTGCGCTATCAGCAGATTGTACTTTGCCTCTTACACATAGAAATTTGCACCTTGAAGAATCACTAATAATGTGCAGACAAGTTGCGGGCGACAACAATCCGCGGGATAAAGAAGCGGTGAAAATAAACGATCGCGTGGTAATTTCAACGCGTAATCATCGCGATGACGTGTCGAAAGTTATGCGCGCGGCGTAAACATCGCAGTAGATATTGCTGACAACGGAGTACGGTGGAGCAACATTGGAACGAGGCTACGGGGTGACGCAAGTGACACAGCGACGAGACTCGACGGATGCTCGATGACGGACGAATCGCCGTGAAGCTGGCTGACCGTCGCGAGAACGTCAGCTGACTTCAGGCTGATCAGATGATCGCGACGTTGACGCGCGCAACTTCGCGCGTTCGAAAGGATCGTGACGCGCTCCGTGTAGCCCGTATCAGACTGCGCATTGAAGATTGAAATGAGAAATGAAGATTAGAACTTGACCACTCAGATGGGTTCAACTTCTATCCGTTTCATTTTTGTTGATTAAATTCTGATGTTCAACTTGTAAGTAATCCTCAATTTTCAACGCGTAGTCTGATACGGGCTCTTAAGCTGGTCCGCACTCAACATATTATTTTTTTATAACAATTTTAAGAACGTATTAGACTACGGATTGAGATTCAGATTAGATTAAAATTTTACCAATCCGTAAAGTTTACTAATCTCAAGTTTAGTGACTTTTACTCTAATTGGTCAAATTTTAATTTAATCTCAATTCGTAGTCTGATGTGGGCTTATAAGACATATTACATGAATTGTTAGTTACTCAACGTTATATTAATATACACGGAGAAACTTTTCTCTTAAAATGTATCCTGAAAATCATGTAATCGTAGGATGTATGTATGGTAAAATTTCAACAAACTATCAGTTCTTTAACATGCCATGTTGTTCCATAATTACATGATTTTCAGGATAAACTTTAAGAGAAAATTTTCCCTTGTATGTACATGTTGTATAATATATTCAACTATACAACATATGTAATACAGGGTGTCCCATTTTAATTACCCCGGATAAACACCTCGAAAAATATGGAAGATACGGAAAAATGTTTCACACAAAAGTTTGTCGGATATTAAAGAGAAGGTGCAGATTATGCGGGCATTTGTTTGACCTTAAGACCACCTTGAAAATTCCTGCCAAGATTATCTTCAAATTTTTAGAGAACACGCACTTCTTACTATATATGTGTATATTAATAATATAAATAATAAATTAACATTATAAATTATTTATTTGACATTATATCCACAACATTATATGTTAAATGTTAAATAAAATTACTCGCGTCGTATCTCGCAGAATGACGCGATATGAAGGCCAAACGTTGACTCTTTCAGGAGCGACATTGTGAGTCTCGGATAAACGGCGCGGGCGAGGAGAACGAGAGCGCCTTTCTAACACGGCACCGAGCGCATTTTTTCTCCCCGAACTGCATCAACGATCACACAACGATGTTTGCCGTGACCCGCTTTAATTTTGTCGCGATTACGTTGATATGTAACGCTGTCACCGTCGCCGTCGCTGCCACCGCGGTCACGCGTCCGAACATCTTGCTGATCATCGTCGACGATTTGAGGACCACTTTGGGATGCTACGGCGACGCCAACGCGTACACGCCGAATATAGACGCCCTGGCCGAGGACAGCGTTGTCTTCACCGAGGCATTCGCGCAGGTTTTGCTCCTCGCACATAATCCTGACCCACCCCCCACCCCCCGGACCCTCCGAGCGTTTCGTCCTTTCTCGACTTTGAATGTGCTCAAGTAGAACATGTTGGTTTTTTTTACATTTCCTAAACGTTTACAAAACATTACATTTAAGAAATATACAGGGTGGTCCCAATCGTTCAGACCAGACTGTGAGATCTTAGAGGAAATTTAATTCTGAAGACAAAATTTCTCATAAACATGTGCCGAGAAATGCTTCCTTAAAAAGTTAGCGCCCAAAAACCTCTAAACTAACGAATTTCCGTTGGGAAAATTTACTTTAAATGAAATTAAAGTTTTTAAAAGTAATCTTTCAAATCTAAGAGTTTACTTGAAGAACAACGTCAGTGTTTTCTTGACCATACCTTGCATTTTTAATAATACAGATTTATTGCGAAAAATATTACCTCAGTCAGGGTTTGAACCTGGACCTCCCTCTCGCTAGGCGGACGTCTCAACCAATTCGACCACCGAGGCATATGGAAATATTCATTGCAATAAACAGTCTAATGTTAATTCCCGAATGCCACCTACCGTGACAGTATTCGAAAACGAGAACTGCGCGTCGACTTAAATCATCAGTTTTAAAACAGTGCAATCACCCCTACAATGTATCCCCATTATTACCCTCTCACCCATTCAAATCATTAAATGAAAGTAAGAAACGCATGTTACGTCCGCGTAAATTAACAAATTAATAAAATTCGTATGGCTCAAACACAATTAAATAAAATTTTAATGTTTTTCTAAGGTATATTTTCCCAGGGGTTTTAATATATTTATGCAGAAAAGAGCTAGGAAAGTATGCCTTTTTTAAGAAAAAGTATTTTCTTTTTATTTCACTTTCTTTCCATATTCTGCTCTTCTTTCATCCTCCTATAATGATTGATTTGAACAATGCAGAAAAATACAAATTTTTTAACAAAATAACTGACAGGCAAGATAAACATGAAAAATTAGCTAAGGTCATAACATCATAAATAAAGACTATTTTTAAAAAGCTCTATCGTCAATAATTGAGAGAGCACTTTTGTACATTAAAAATTAATTATCTCAAGACCTGATAAAACATAATAACAAATATTTTAGCCTCATTTAAAAGATAATTTAATTCTTTACAACTTTTGTTTCGATATTTTTTGTTAAAGAAGGCATACTTTACACAAATAAATTAAATAGTCGTGATTTTAGAGGATTTTGGGCGCTGACTTGTTAAAGGAGCATTTCTTGGTACATGTTTATGGGAAATTTATTGTTCAGAATTAAATTTCCTGTAAGATCTATTAGTTTGGCCGGAACGATTGGGGCCACTGTATACGTTAAACGTACATGTATGCACCACCATGTGCTACTTCTCAGATAACATTTTGTATAAAAGCAGTTCAATTCACTTGCTAGCAACTATTGCCGTTTTGTTGCATGATAATGACAAAAATATAAATTAAATTAAACTTTTGTTTACATGTTGCCAGTAAAATTGCCGACATATGTTGCAGTAATATTATATTTGTCGCAAAAATATTTATATTAAAAAGTTGTCACAATTTTAACCAAAATATTGCCAAAGTCATACATATTTTTTGTCGCATTTGTTACCGCAAAGTTGCTGTAAAGTTGCTGTACCCACTTTGCGTGCATTTTTTGGCTTGCAGTATTGCATCAAATGAAGACTCACTTTATTGGCAACTTGCATGCAACATTTTTTCCAAATTGCCGGCAAAATGTTAACCAGTTTAAGTATGTAAAGCTGACAAATGAACGTTTTGCAGCAAGCGTTATGCGCGCCCAGCAGAAACTCCTTTCTGACAAGCAGAAGACCAGACACCCTTCGGCTTTACGATTTTTACAGCTACTGGCGCAACGCGGCGGGCAATTATACCACGTTGCCGCAGCACCTGAAAAACAATGGATACACCACGATGTCCATAGGGAAAGTGTTCCATCCAGGTATAGAGGAGTTACGTTCCAGTATACATCAACTAACAGTTACATAACATAAATATTATAATTTTCTGCTTAACAATGTGACTGTTATGTACAACATATATGTTATATTAAATTTAATTATATTGTTGAATGGAAAATTATGATATTGATGTTATATAACTGTTCGTTGATGTGTTCCCCTAGGTGTTTACTCTGTAAACAAATTGGCTGCAATATGACTACAGATTGGCAACAGGTTTACTCAGACATTGCAACAGATCTGGTAAAAAATATGTCATGCATGAACATGAATAAGTATATAAAATTATATAAAAATAAACATTAAATATGTCCGTATATATGTGTACATATACTGCGCAACAAAATTAACGCAACAAAAATCTGTACCAAAATTTCGCTCAACTTCAAATAATCGTAACTTCGCGAAAACTTATCACATTTGAAAATTTTATTTTATTTTAAGCCTAGAAATCGCTACTTTCAAGAGAATCTTTCAAATTTTGAATATCTTTGTTCCCCTTATCGTGATCTCTTTAAAAGTAAGAACATGTTTTGTCTGCAAAACTTTTCATAGTTTGACGCGCTTTACGGGTTGCGATGAATTTTTTTCGCAAATTCTATAAGAACCATTGTAAAATATTAACTTTCCCCTACAAATTAAAAAAAATTGAAGTCTGTACGATTTTTTTGGGCGGAGTTATGATATATCAAAGTTACCTATGCATTTAGTCTATTTAGGCTCATTAATTGTGCAAATAAATTAATGACCATTTTTATTTAAACACACGTGAGTGAGAAAGAGGGGGAGAGGCACTTGAATATACACGTGTGCGCGTGCACACACACACACACACACACACACACACACACACACACACACACACACACACACACACACACACACACACACACACACACACACACACACACACACACACACACACACACACACACACACACACACACACACACACACACACACACACACACACACACACACACACACACACACACACACACACACACACACACACACACACACACACACACACACACACACACACACACACACACACACACACACACACACACACACACACACACACACACACACACACACACACACACACACACACACACACACACACACACACACACACACACACACACACACACACACACACACACACACACACACACACACACACACACACACACACACACACACACACACACACACACACACACACACACACACACACACACACACACACACACACACACACACACACACACACACACACACACACACACACACATACAGACATTTTGTAAAAATAATATTTTTAGACGTTTTAAAACATTTTAAACATATTCCCAAAGAAAACTGGAAAACAATTTTTTTCACGAAAACAAAGCTTCCTCTACGAGGAAGCAAAAGTCAAGGGTTGAGCTTAAAGTCAGCTGTTATTGATATAGGAAATTCTATATTTAGTTGCGGTCAAACGTATGTAGCTTTATCACGTCTTACGTCCATTGAAGGATTACACTTGAAAAATTACGATCCAGCATCTATTAAAGCCAATGAATTAGCCATTGTTGAATATAATCGTTTAAGAAAATTGTACTGTCAAAACGCAGAAAGTATTAATGTACAAAAAAATCGATATAGTAAAATTAAAGATCAGTTATGGGCAGTACCAGTTACATGTCTTCTTGATCAGATCCAAGATGAATCAGAGTCTACAGAACATACATCAATATTATCGATTAAAGGTTTTTCAAATGTAGACAATGTGTCATGCTATGCAAATGCAGTTTTACAATGCTTAATACATAATGATATTATTAGAAAAATATTATTAAAACTTGATAGTACAAGTGCAATTAAAACTTTAATTAATGAGTATATTAGTAGCAAAGATATTTTAAATTCTATTAATATTAAACACTTTCTTGGAGAACCGTTTTCACTTGATATGCAACAAGATGCTGCGGAATTTTTAACAATACTTTGTGAAAAAATTACAATTCTCAGAGATATTATAGGACCCAATCTCTCTACTACCACTTGCTGTATGAAATGTAATTACACAAACACAAAAATAGAACAAAATTTAATAGGAACACTTGCAATTCCCACATTTTCATCGCATGGCATAGATTTGGAAAATTTAATAAAAAGCAATTTTTCACATTGGTCATCCATTGAAGGATTATGTGAGAATTGTAATGAAAATGGTCAGTTAAAATTAAATATAATTTCCATTCCGCTAAACGAATAATTATATTACAATTAATGTTATTTTCGTGTGATAGCAATAATGTA